TCCCACCAGATCAGCAACGTCTTATCTTCGCTGGTAAGATATTGTAAATTAAGTAACCTTTTTTAATCAATTGGTTATAGGAAAGCAGCTTGAGGATGGACGTACTCTCTCGGACTACAACATCCAGAAAGAGTCCACCCTTCACTTGGTTCTTCGTCTTCGTGGAGGTATGCAGATCTTCGTCAAGACCCTCACCGGAAAGACTATCACCCTCGAGGTCGAAGCTTCTGACACCATCGAAAACGTGAAGGCCAAGATCCAAGATAAGGAAGGAATCCCACCTGATCAACAACGTCTCATTTTTGCTGGTGAGAAGACTCTTTAGAAGTTCTTTGTATTTAAATCTATAATTATAGGTAAGCAACTTGAGGATGGACGCACTCTCTCCGACTACAACATCCAGAAGGAGTCCACTCTTCACTTAGTTCTCCGTCTTCGAGGAGGAATGCAGATCTTTGTCAAGACTCTCACTGGAAAGACCATCACCCTCGAGGTCGAAGCTTCTGACACCATCGAGAACGTTAAAGCAAAAATCCAGGATAAGGAAGGAATTCCCCCTGATCAACAACGTCTTATCTTCGCTGGTGAGACATTGCATTTTAAGTAATATTTTTCAATCTACTGGTTGTAGGAAAGCAGCTTGAGGATGGACGTACTCTCTCTGATTACAACATCCAGAAGGAGTCTACTCTCCACCTGGTCCTCCGTCTTCGTGGAGGATAAATATTGCGACTGAATGCTAACTTATATAATGTATTAACAAAATCCAATTTTTTTTAAGAATTCGATCGTGCGATCTCCATGTAGTTTTTCTTTTTGGCATAATTCGCATTCCTTCTGTATGATAAATTTTCATGAACGAGATTTTCTTATGATATCGGGAGTGGGAGGGGGATATTTAATGGCTTAACATGATAGGTTTCTGGTTCATTCTCTATCTTCCTTCTTCCAATATGTGGTTGAGACTTTGCCTTTTGATCGGTACTGTTGCTTATCTGACAGGTGAGTCTCCTGTGTTTTAATCCCACTTCTGGCTTTTCAGCCCAGCCATGTGGTGGTTGCCAAGGGACAACTGGAGAAGCATCAGATACGGTAGCGTGCAAATCCATGTAAAGGTATATCTGATTGATTAGGAACAAGGCAGTACTACTCAAGGACCCCCCAATCGATTCAATTTAGCCGGCTGGGAAACAGACGACAATGGAAATGTGTTTGTAGGTGAGTAATTTGGAGAATAATGTGTGAAGACTGAATTCACACGTTATGACGTTAGGGAATAAAATGTTTATGTGTGAACACACCCTGGTTATTCATAATGGTTTTTTATAGGCGATGATAATGCGAAACTGTATTTGATATCAGTTGGTTCCTATTGGCCTTTCCCTAAGGACTATCGCAAAAAAAGAAGTTTGAAGGATATATTGCTGAAAATGAAACAGTAAAAATCTCTATAAATATTTATAACATGTGCTCAACAACAAATATCAACAATTATTACGATATTGAAAAACCTATGCTTTGCTGAACTCAGTCAGCGTTGTTCTACCTAGAAATGAGCCACTCATAGTCTGAGATGAGCAGTTTTCGATCTGAAGACCAACAAGTTAAAGACAGAAAGGTTGATATAGAAATACCTGTACACTAACATAATCTCCTACGTTTATATTATCCGTCCTGTTGAAAATAACTTTTGTTCCTCCATCACATCGTCCTTGCATGAACTTATCAGATCGTTTCGATTCCTAGCACAAAAACAGTACTCGTTGTGAGTCACATATAACTAACCCCTTCGACAAGAACTAATTGATTAGTGCCGACCAGACGAGAATGAAACTTTAACGATGTTTCGCGGAATACAGAAGCCAGTTCTTGATGTCGCCTTTTTTTAACGTCCGGATGAACATCATCAGTTAATCTGTGATGAGCTCTTGTTTTCTGAAACAGTTTGTAGAGATGTTAGAGAACGCATGCCTACCCCTCGTAAGCTATAAGGAAAAACATAGCAGAATGAATACTCGACAGCTTTCATAAGATCAAGTGTTCTTTTATGAGCCTCTTCTGTCTCTCCACAAAACCCAGCGATGAAATCGCTTGTGATGAAAACATCTGAAGCATTAATGCAATTAGGAAATAAGAAATGATATACCCGGTAGTAAACTACGAACATCTTCAACCAGTTTCAAATACGCTTCTCGGGTGTACCCTCTGCCCATTTGTTCCAGAGTTTCATTATCACCACTTTGTGCGGGCATGTGAAGTTGATTACATATATTGGGACGTTCTCTAATTAGTTCAATCACCTGGAAGTACTACCTTGTCCCAGTGACTACTATTAGTGAAAAATACCTCTAATGGGAAATCTTTGGGATGTGGGGACGTGAAGCGAATCCTCATTTCAGGATCGATCTCGGATACTTTTTCTAACAACATAGCAAATGATCTTCCTCCTTGCTTCGGTCTTAAACTATCAGCTAAGAGATTGAGAGATTATTTCAACTGACTTGTAGACTGTGTTGAAACCAGGAACTCGCCCTGACGAGCTGAGCATACTGTGTATTGACTCGGAATTGTCACGATAACTGTTAACATTTTGGCCCAATAAGGTGATCTGTTTGTAACCCTTAAGTATGGTTTGTTATAATCTTTCAGATTTGGGAATGAACCTCATCACTTAGACGTCTAACCTCCTCTAATATAGAGTCGATGGGACGACTTCGCTCTCTTCCACGCGTGAAGGGTACCACGCAAAAGCTGCACATATTATCACAGCCTCTCATTATGGATCTGCAACAGGAAAATAAGGGAACTGTATAGAAATGTAACAAACACGAATGCTGTTCGAGTGTTTTGGTCTACTCTGACAGGTGCTACATCAGCATAAGTCTCTTCGAGGGAGAGCTGGACATTAATGGCATTAGTACCTGACCGGGCTACAGCTAATAAACGAGCCAAATCTTTATACGAGTCAGGACCTATTTGAGCAGATAAATCTCCATGGTAATATAATAACCTCACCAGCAACAACATCAATTAATCCTTTCCTTTTAAATAATGAGTGTTTAACATTTTCCGCCATGCAACCTAGAAGTCTATGCTATTGTGACGTTTGAACACGGAAGCTTTACCCAAGACCCCGACAACCTGAGAGCGAGAAGCATTTCGTTTTATCTTTTTTAATTCTCTCCACACTTTCTCTTCGGCACCTTCCCTTATGGAACAAGTCATCAAGAGAACTACGTCAGCCTCAAAAGGGAATGTCACAGATTATAGATGGTTGAAGCATCTACTGATTGCTCATCATTTGTTTCTTGATAATCATTCTGAAACAACAATGATCTAACGATTTCCATATCGTTCACATTCATTTGACATCCATATGTTACGAACTTAACTGAAAATAATAGTTTCTCTTCTCTTTTCTTAGACAAAAACCTTTTCTGCCTCCTCCGTTATAATCTTCAGGTTTTAAGTAGGTTTCTGTTTCTTCAACTGACGGAGAAACTTTCTTTAATCTTTTTCGCTCCTGATCAGCAATAATAAAGTCTTTAAGACCTGGTCCATCTATGAACCCAGCATTGAGAAATATTTTCTTTGAAACTACCTTTTAAACGAGACTTCCTCGTCTGCGACGAAGTAGCAGTTGAGCTTGAAAGCCTATGGGGAAAATATTTTGTTACGAAAAGCCTGGTACTATTTAAAAGTAAATTACTGCTCTTCATAATAATCTCTAAGGGCTACTAAAATTAATAAAGCCCTCTGCTTCTGGGGTCCTTGCGAATTTGGTCCCGGTCAGATCAGAGTACAGACAGCAGAGGTGATTGATTAGGTCAGTGACGCAGAGGAAACAGCGTGTTCCATACTATAACCCTCTTAGCATTATTTCAACGCTCTTCCGCTGTGCATTTTATTTATTTATTCAATTTCATCATTTCACTGAATTCGATCAGTTATATAATTTTTTCTCTTCAGATAACCGAAATGTCAAGAGATCGAAAAGGGGGACCACGGGATGACCGACGATACGATGAGAGAAAGCGAGGTCCTGATCGCGAAGAAAGGTATGTTCTCTCGATGCTTTAAGCATGCAAGTTTTTCTTTCTCCATTGCTCTTCAACATGCTTTCATACTGAACTTTATATCTAAGTTTGTACGAATTATCACAACTCTGGGTATTTACTAGCAATTCAATTCTTATCATTTTGGACGCTCCTCGTTAATATCATATTCTGCATTCAAATATCTTTGCATGTCTTCTTCACAGATCTGATTTAGCCTTTCAATATTATGTAGCCCAGTTCATTTTTACAGCCGACATCGTCGTGAGCATGGCAGCCCTGGGCAGGGTCGCAATCAAAGGTCCGAAAATGGATCTGATAAAAGAAATTCTCAATCACATTTTCCTAATCGTAACGAGAGAGGTATAACAACCTTCAATGGGGCTCCTTTCTCAGAGGGAGACCTCATGGCCGATATACCCAAAAAGAAATTTACTGGACGTTGTCGCCTTTTCGTTGGTAATTTGCCCAACGAAGTTAGCGAAGATGAGCTTAAGAAACTTTTTTCACCTCATGGAGATATCTCTGAGTGTTACCTTAGCGGGAAAGGATTTGCATTTCTTCGACTGGTGAATATTTATTCTTAGATTGAGGGGTGGATACTTAGGTGGACTGAGTTTACTTTTTATGTGATTTGGACAATTCCTTTTCGGACTCTTATAGCTAACTTTGGACTCGTAACTAACTTAATCCACCCCTCACATTCAATTTTTGGGTTTTACTCTGTTTTATTTCTTATTAGGACACGAGAGCTAACGCTGAAAGTGCCAAAGAAGCCATCGACGGAAAAAATCTACATGGTCGACCTATTCGAGTTCGCTTCGCTGTGCACGGTGCTGCTCTGAGAATAAAGGAATTATCTTCTACCGTTTCTAATGAAATGCTGTACCACGCGTTCGCGCGATTCGGCGACGTCGAAAGAGCCATCCATATAGTAGATGAAAAAGGACGTCCAACCGGTGAAGGCATCGTTGAGTTTGAGAGAAAGGGTCCATGTCAAGAAGCGTTACAATCCATTCGAGAGAAGGTCTTCATATTGACAGCGTAAGTAATTTTTTCTTATGCGATCAAACACTTGCTGAATTTGATCGCTCAATTGTAATTGTTTGTTTGACTGTTGTGAATAATCTAAATCAGGAACTCGAAGCCAATCAGTGCTGAGGTATTGGAACAAAAAGATGAAGACGACGGGTTAGCCGAACGTATGATTCCTCGAACCCCTCAGTTGAACAAGTAAGCTCTTGGACTTATTCGGACTTGTCATTTGTGTTAATTATTTAAATTGGACTGTCTATTTGGACTTATTATTTTATACAATATATATCGTATGGACTTGCTTAGGGAACGTGAACTCGGACCTCGATTTCCTGGTCCTAATTCCTTCGAATACATTTACGGTATGAAATGGAAGGATTTATACGAAATGGAAAAACAGCGTCGAGCTCAGTTCGAAAAAGAGCTCGTCGAAAGTAGACGACGTCTTGAAGCAGACATGGAAGTAGCTTATCAGGACTATCAAGCTCAAATGTTGAGAGAGGGTTAGTTCATGCATTTTGGTTGTAACTCGCAACTATGGTACTCGCTGTCAGAACTTTTTTGCTCTGTTTCTGGACTTCTATCTCTTTCCCTTTACTTTTGCGACTTCTATCGTAAAAACATGACAGCTTAAGTGGTTTTAATCATTACTTGTTTTCCTCCATACGTTTTTCTATGTGTAGCCAAATATTCATCTCATTGACTTATTACAGATCTCCAACGTAGACAGCAGGAGCTTGAGAGACTCGAAGCCCTCAGACGAGAGAGAACTAGACCCCCTGGTGTAGGCCCAGGTTCTGCGAACCCTCCACCAAATTCATCGAATGGAAATTCACACGGAGGACCATCTCATCCTCCTCCACATGGTGGACCAGGTTCAGGTGTACCTATGATGGGACCAGGCCCAGGTCCTGACTTCAGAAAAGAATCAGAAAAATTATATGGTGGTCCACCAGGCCCTGTACCACCAGGCGGCCCTAATAGTAATTTCCCACCACCACGTAAGAATCAGTTGTAGTACAGATATATCTAACTTCTGAACGCAGATTTTGGTCGTGTACCACCTATGGGAGGACATTTCCCTGGAGGACCTCCAATGAACATGAACTTCAACGGCCCACCGCCCAATCATCACGACAGAGGTATAGATATATGATAGTGTCAATTAAGCACATCATATTGTAGGTGAACGGCCGAATCAAACCAACATGTTAGAAGGTGTTCAACGCTTATTGCAAATATTTAAAAATGAGCCAGCTGGATCATCTTCCCCTCGAGGTTGTGGCAGCATCTGTAGCCAATGATGTAATCAATATTTTTAGGGCCACCGCCAATGTTCGGATATGGGGGACCAGATTTCCCTCCTGAAAAACGATCTAGACGTTAATCTACCAGTCTTCCAATTTGCTGATCTTGAATATAATTAATGTATATGCACATTTCAATATCGCTATCATTATAATTTATTACGTTTTAAATTGTATTTCTTCATGCAAGGGTCAATAAAAACTTTCAAGGAAAACGTATAATAAGTACTAAATATTTATGCCCATATCGGGTTCACTTATACAGTTCAAAAGATCATCACATGAGAGCACAGTCAGTAAAAAACATATTATCCAGACTTGAATAATAAGATGGCGACTTGACCGAGGTAAAAGTAGATGAAGTGCTTGGTCTCATGGGTGACGTAGGATCCAAAGTTCCTTCCAACGATGCAATGCCAGGTTGGGTTATACTTCTTGTCGAACTCCTTCTTGATATAAGCAGCAATATCTTTTTCGATGTTATATCTGTAAAGTTTAAAAGTTACTCCGAAAAGTAGCCTTGACCACCAGGTCTATGGATATTACAACTGAGAGATAAAGATCAATTCTAGTCTTGATTTATATAAATATAAACGTTGATAGAATTAATACTCACTCAATTGGTGAAACACTAATGATACTTACTTCTCCAATGCTTGGGTAGCACAGTCGATGGAGTCTTGTTGCATGTCCTCAGACATATCGGCGTTCTTGATAACAGCCTTACGGTCAACCATTTTCTGAAATTGAAAGATTAATTTTAAACGAACGAATCTGCTAATGATTCATCTAAAATTTATGAGGAAACAGCAAATAAAAGACAAATGTGAGTGCAGACCATGCTGCACCTAATAAAACAAACAAAATCCAACAGTAAAAAGAATTGCCAAATCAACCATCTATAACTTATTAAAGAGAAGCATAGATTGCGGAAACAATGCTGACAACGTACACAACTCAATACCGCAAAAATTTACTGATACTCTGACTGATGAAATAATACTAAAAGAGCCAACGTTCTAGAGTGGCCGTAATGGCGCCTACGAGTGCAAGTCCCGCCTATTTAGCCGCGTCGCACAGCCGCGTCCGGAGCATACAGCCGAGTCACACAGCCGCGTCGCACGAGAGGGCGGGCAATTTGAATGTACACATGTTGATGTTGGCGACAGTACGGAAGCACAGGAGTGAAAGATATAGAGACCCTGATTACAAGTGCAAACAATGGTCCATGAGTTCCTTTAACTATCGTTTCTAAGGGTTCAGCTTATCTCAAGAAGAGAGGAATTTGTTTGAACGATGCAAGAAGTGTTCGAGGCAGGCTCCTGTGCCCGGAACAGAAATATCAGGTTATCTTCAACTTTCGACATTGTTTTGAACCTTGTGTATCATATTTTAGTATGAGATAAACATTTCATTCCATAAAATTAATTGTCACATGCCCATATTAAATTAATCAGAACATTCCTCCCCGTCTTTTGCGATCAGCTCCTCTTTGCTTCATGTCATTCTTATGTCTCTCTTTCATCTGTCGGTCACGGCCCCCGGTATAACTTGGATTGGAGTCGTTGCCTGGAAATAGTAGCTTGAGAATGAATTCTTCGAAAGTTCCATTAGATTGATTTATGGTTTCTCAGGTGGTGAATCAACTTTGTTAAATCATGTTCCGACTAGTAACTCTGTGAGTGCTAGGCAAACACTAGCTGTCCTTATCAAATAATTTCTTATGTGAAGAATGAGCCGCATAAATTAAAGAGAGATTTTAACCTTGTGCGCCTTGGATTGATTGTTCTCTGTTCTTTCCTCTATTTCCTCTTGTTGAATTTCCACCTCGCCTTACACTTCCACCTCTACTAGAAATAGCAGGTGGCGGCGCTATAGTATCTTCTTCTCCATCTTCTTCATCGTCCTCATCGTTATCTTTCGGTTTAGGGAGTTCTTCGCTGAAATGTAATACGTTTCGATCATAGTTACTGGCTAAGACATATAAAAGTACTGAAATACCTACTTCAGAGGTTCAACCTGGAATTCGCGTGCCTCATATCCATCGTCATACTCGTCGTTATATGTGTCATCTTGTAATTCCATTTTGTAACTTTCGTAAGTGGGACGAATGGCGATTTTATCTTCTTCTGTCACTTTGTATTTTCCTATGCCATATCTATGCATGGACACAAAACTATTTGTGAATCATTCATGAACATACTTCTTGGATGCAGCCATAGGTACCAGTTTTTCACCGTTAATGCCTACTTGAACTTTTTTGTCTCCGACACTCGGTTGGGAACAGGTAGCAACTCTCAATCGATCTAAGCTTGCTCGGAGCTCTTTTAATGTCTATAATTTGAGATGTAAGCGTACATTAACTTCCTTGACAACCTCGGTTATGTCGGGAGTAGTTTCTTCGTTGGATGCTTCGTCTTTCTTATTAGGTGCTAAGCTGAAGAATCCCTGTAATAGAAGTATAATAATATCTCAAAGTAGAACCCTTCTACTTTGAACATACTGCCAGCTCCGGGCTCTTTGACAACTGTCCTTTTTGGTGTTGGAATGGTTTTCTCCAGAAGGTCTAAATAATGTGTTCGCTCGAATTCACCTTATATTACGAACCAGTGGCAGCAAATGATACCATTGGCAGAGTCTGTTTGATGTCTGGCCTGTTGAGAATAGCATTCTCAACAGTCACTAGATCAAATGGAAGAGCAGTTTCTTTTTGCAATAAACCTTCTAAGGCCTCTGCCGTGGAAAATTTGAAATGACCGAGCACGAGCTGAAAAATCATTTTAACCGTGGTCATTTTTACTTTTCATTCCACTCGAGCGGTTGCTCCTTCTCACATACTAACCATGGTAGGTAGAAATGTGTTGCAAACTATTAATTAATTTAAAGATGCTTGACTTCCCCTTCCCAGAAACTGTTGAAACTAAAGGATATTCATTTGAATACTCTAATGCGTCATCAATCTCAATTCCTTCAACTAATGGTGAGGCAGGGGTTGTCCAACTCGGAACTGAGAAGTGTTTAGGGTCGTTGGAAAATTTGAGGCTGTTGCATCTATTCCAAATTACACTTCATAAGCTTTTACTCCCCAAGACACCCTTAAATCCTCGGAAATCAGTGCTACTACTCAACCTTTGCAAGCAACTGATGCAAGAATTATATACAAATTTTGAATTGTGAAAGGTAAACATACTTGAACGTATTCAACGGACATATGCGGGAAGATCTCTCTGATCTCTTGTATGGCATCTCTGTGAGACTGTTCCAGTCTATCCAAGTTTCCAAGGTTCTAAACTTTCTTTTTAGGATAATTACTTCTTCAACTGACTGTCAATAACTATTACCTTTAATAAACCTTGTTTCCCTAGCTTTTGAACTGTCTCCTCCATTTGAACCATGTAAACGGGGTCTATTAAGCTTTGAACTTCATTTCTCTCTGCATCCGCTAGAAGTTTGTTTACATCAAACTTCCGGAACAGATAAAAAATAAACCTGAAAGGGTATTCTAGTCAAGTATACTACATTTGAATGCAAACCTCTCGTTTACAGCAGTTTCTCTTATTAACTCTAGCCGTTCAGTAGTCTTGATCTTCTCTAAGACTGAATGAAACAGAGAAGCTCCCTCTGTCTCGATTGTAACCAAATAACGGAAAAACCTCCTGGAGCAATCAAAAGTGTTATTGTGATATTTTGACAACTAACTTCAAGGGATAGTTGGGGAAAGTGAAAGACAATTCATGGATATCTTCAATGGTGAGAGAGCACGAGATGATCTCTAACAAGTCTGCTAGTCTGAAATTCACTTTCAATTTTTTTATTGTGTGAAGTACTATACCCTGCTATGAACAGCTTTTGATATGAAAAAGCCATGGAACTTTCTGTGAAAACGAGGAATGTTGAGTGAACCATGCGGATATGATCGACAACAGTATTCAAATAGTCATCAACAAGTTTCGCATATTTGAACTTCTGTTCTTTGGAGCTTTCTTTGAATCTTGTGATCAACACGTCTAAATGTTCTCCTAGGCGTTCGTTCATCTACAACAACGATCAAATATGAAAACAAAAAAATGAACTCACTTGACCGAACCTTTCAACGAACTCCCTACTTCTCTTGTTAAGTGTTTCTGTTATTCGTAAACGATTCTTGAAGATCTACGCAACAACCTTATTAAACAATTGATTTCACTTATATTACCTTGGCAAATAGACTTCTCTTCGCTGGGTACCTAGACCACAAGCTAGTCTCGAAAGATAACGGGAGAATCTCTTGTTTAGTTATTAGATTTTGCCATCTCTGCCTTCCGAGATCAGAATCCTGAAAACGTGCATGAGGTATATTTCGTTAAACCCAAACACGAACCATGACTTCATTGAAAACTGCTATTCTCAGATACACGGATAGAAGGATGCACTTCAAATGACACGCAGTTTCGGAAATATGCTCTTCCCACTCATAGAATACTGAGAATAATTCATTGTCGTACCCTCTGAACATTTAAGCTTTGAATAGACATGGCATTGATAGGGAACGTACGTGGGTAAGCTGTTTAGAGCTGAGGCGAAAGAGTTAAGAAAGCATTCGTCCTGAGTTACTGTATTCCAGAAGTGTTCAGAAAGGGAACATAATAACCTATAACAGAGGGTTGACAAGAGAACATGATACATTCTCACGTTTCAAATCTCCCAATTACTACTTTCGCTTCAGAGTTCCAAATCTCGAGCTCTTCCTTTGTCAAACCAAAAGTGCATCTTCTCAAAATAAAGAAATGTTGGGATGTGTCCTGAAACTTTCATATTAGGATGGTTGTGAGCGTATGAGTCGTACAGTCATTATTCCAAGCCACTATATATCTGATAAAACCTGAAGGAACTTCATTACGGACATGCTTATATGTGGTTGAAGGTATGATTTCAGAATGTTGTCACATCAGAACACGAAAAATCAAAATGATTCAATAAAAGTTTATTTGGGTAAATCAACAAAATAGGGAACAACAACAACAAACATCCTTTGAGGATATAACAATATTTGAAACAACTAAATATGTTTTTTATTACGACCCATTCTCTCAGTCTTCTCTATTGGAGGCCACATTATTGATACATTACCATGTAACGATTCTGGAACCCATTCCAAGTACTCTTGTAATAAGAAGTTTTCATCTTTTTCAAATTCTTCTACCAAGGCTACACGCGAACATATCTAAAACAGTATTATGAGACAGAAACAGAACATTAGGGACTTACATCTTTTTCGATGAGAGCATTTAATAAGTTTTCAGTTCTCTGTTGTAACTTGGCCCATGACTTGACCATAGTTGTTGGGGGAGCTATTAACTTGCCCGCATATTCAGCCAACATAGGAACAACCTTAAGATTTGACAATCACAATGTTGCGTAATATTGCACAATACCTCGCCCTTCAGCAAGAACTGACAGAAATATCTGTAGTACATGATATCACGATTGATCTCACGGTCGAAATTGCCAATCGACCATTCTAATGGACCAAACTTGACACCGACACTGTTAACTATTAAGTCTTTCTTTGCACAATATCTAGAAATATCACTTTTCAATAAATAATTGATTGCATGCTCACTTTGGTTCAACTTCCTTATCTGCTGCGCCGAAGCTACAATGCGACTCCGCTAATGTTGGTAACCATTCGTAATCCACAGTCATTAACCCTTGCATACATTTTTTCTCGCCTACAAGTTTGTTTATGAGCTGAGAATTATCACTTTGATGTACCGAGTTGGACAATGTCTTGATATAACACGTAGTCTGGATCTTCTGTATATAATACACTGCATGGGTCAATGAATACATATTCCTTGAAAAAAATACTATACAAAAAAGGTCCTTGTAATTTGAAATAAACCTGCAATTTCGTAGTCTGGTAAGCACCACGAGGAATCTCCTCATCTGTTACTGAACGATCGACTCTACGTGCAATATTCTCAGCGAGACCAGCAACCATCATTTGCCTTAAGTAAACAAACGTACAAGACTTGCAAGGTTATTCTACCTAAGCATTTGAGCTTGAATTGGAGAAGGAGGTTGTAGTTTGAGCTCCATGACGACGTTTTCAGTATCTTTGAAAGAAGTGTTAACTATATTCGTCAATTGAGTTCTCAGTTGTCGTATTTCAATCATAGCCTTGGGTCTCAATCCAACTTTATGGCATGCTTGAGTATCCATCTACAATAATTTTCTTTAACTGTTCGAAATCTTGCTGAAAGAAACCTCGACATCTTCACTACAGAAAACAGATCTAAGTAAAACCAACAAATCACCCAACCGCCTTGATGGCCCCTAAATTAACGATAGAATATATAGATCACCGAAGAAATCTCACTTGTCCACACCATCCACGACGCATTTTTAAAACTTCAGTCATCAGAGTTTTTGTTTCTTCTTCCGTATCTCCGCGTAATGAGTATACAGGTACGAGTGGTTCTCTCACTGAATGAAATCAGCGAGTGCTTATTACTACGTCCAATAATACCTGATAATGCAGCTATCAAGCATATAGCATATGGCATCAATCCGTGTTGATTAGCCATTGCAATAACTTTAGCGTACGAAGGTGATAAAGGAAACATGGATAAAATACGACCAAGAGAAGTGATTCTTGCTTCAGTCTTGAATTATATGATTGACTAGACAAAAAGTTTGTACTCACTTTTCCATTCTTCGTAGTAGTTGATAATGCATCTAGTTTAATCAAACGTTTTTCCGCCGCGTCGAGAACTTCTCTGTCAGGTGGTGAAGGGAATGGGAAGTTGATCACCTTTAATATTATGATATAACGAGTGAGGCAAATCAATGCAAATATACTCACTTTAACGATGTTCATGGACTTCAAGTGCAGTACTAACTGTTCAGCAGGTTTAAGCAGGATATCAGGTTTGGCGAATTTCGGGAAGTCTTGGAAAACAGCGGAAGAAAAAAGCCTAGAATTCAACAGTAGGAAACCGTCGAAGAATGCAACCATTCTGTGTGGACCTACCGATAAGCGTGTCCAGCACATATACGTCCAGCACGTCCAGCTCGTTGATCTGCAGAAGCTTGACTTATACGAGCAACCACAAATCGTGATACCCCGGTGATAGGATCGTATAACCTGAAGCAATGTGTATCAACAGACATATTAGGAGTCATTACCTTTGTTTTTCAAAACCAGCATCTACAACGTATTTGATTCCAGGAATGGTCAAAGATGTTTCGGCTACATTAGTTGTAATGACACAAAGCCTGAAACAGAGAAAGTGGTTGAGACAAACAACGAAAAATAATCACCTTGTTCCATCAGGAGGAGACTGGAAAACTCTTTGTTGTTTCTCTGAAGACAGCAGAGAGTACAATGGTAAACAGAAAAGAGGCCGTGCATTAGAAGGTGGAGGTCCCATTGAATCGTTCTAAAGTTAATGAATGTTACTTTTCCAAATTATATAACACTAACTAGAGGAGTTTCATCAACGAACTCTTCATCGTAATCATCCCAAGCATCTCCACCAACATCATTCTCTTGTAAGTCTTCTCCATCCAAGTTTTCAGATACCTCGAACCAAGCCATAATGAACAAATTCTAACTGTGATCTCACTTTTTCTTTGGTTTCTTCAAAATCTTCCAGTTTTAATGCCTTGACTTCATCTTTTTTCTTTGACTTCCATGCTCTACTACCTTTAACAAGGAGCTCTCCATCTTTCTCTTCGAGTGAGATCTATTGCAACATTTTGATTCAGGAGATTAAGGATATTTACCGGGTAACGTGCAATGAACTTATTAATCAGATGTTTGACTTCCTTTTGTCCACTAACGAATATGAGTATACCACCGTCAGGTAACGACTCATGAATTTTGCAGGCCTTCAATCACAATTGAAATATTTACATAATGCTTCTGTATAATATACCTTGCGGAAAGATGCATATATGTAATCTTCAGGAGTTTTCTTCTCGAAATGAACAGTAACAGGGAATTGACGGGAATCGACTTTGATCACTTTAGGTTGCACAGTTGGGAACAATCTTGAAAAAAGAAATAACTCTAGTTAGAAAGATTGCTCAACCGTTTTTGAAGGAAGTCCTGTAAACGTAAAGTAGCTGACATAATAACTAAGCGTAAAGGGCTGTTAGTCTTCGCCCGGAGTGGTGCTATCCTAGACAGCATTCCAATGAGTACATCACTGTACATTGACCGTTCGTGAGCTTCATCAATCAGAATTGCAGAGTATCTATTGAAAAGTATTTATTATACGCATTTTCAAGCCACTCACTTGTTCAACATGACATCTTTCTCCATTTCTTTCATCAAAACTCCATCAGTCATATAGAGTATTTTTGTTTCATCATTGCGATTACCTTCATACCGAATCTTGAAAAGTTGAACTGAACGATACATAGAAAAGTTGAAACATACCTGATAACTAACAAGGTTGGGTTGACCCAATTCAATTCCGACACGCTGAGCCATGGATATGGCAGCCACACGACGAGGCTCTGTTATACCAATAATTTGACCATCGCTGGCATATCCGGCTTCATACAAGAACTGAGGAATTTGTGTAGTTTTTCCTGATCCTGTTTCACCACAAACGACAGTAACCTGAACAAAGTAGTGAGTGGTTTGTTGCAAAAAGGTAAGCTACTATGTTGTCGTTTATAGCTTCCACGATCGGAACTTCTTCTCCATATATTGGTAACTGTTGTCTCGATTCATTAATTTCAGGAGATCGTTCTACTACGACACGAGTTCTTTGGAATATTTTGTTTTCAGGTGACAAGTTATCCTGAATTGAAATATTTAGGGATACATAAGTTAGTAAAACTCACTTTGGCAAGTTCAGCATCCTCTTCATCTTCATCAACTTTTTTCCCCACCGTTATCTGTAAAGTTCACAGTATTTGATGAGTAGTTTTCAACCTTACCTTTTCTTTCGGTTGTCGATTTCGGACTTTATTCTCAATTTCCTTGGAAACGGTTTCAATGCTTGCTTCTATGGTCTTACTCGCTTGTCTGATCTGTTTTTTTAAAAATATATACTAATGTCCACCTAATTGAACTAACTTCTTCAGATGTAAGCGCTGAACTTGTTCCTGCTTGTTTATGACGGGTTTCAAGAATAGTTTCTGATTCTTCGCACTCGGAGTCATCTTGTTTAGAATCTTCATTCTCTTCTTTCTCCTCTTCATCATCTTCAGCTTCATCCGTACTGGCCTCGTCATCCGTAGGGAAATAATTTTCCTATTAATATCCTTTACAGTACCGAAGAAAAAACTGTGATACCTGAACGCGATCTTTTGCGTGTAGTGTTTCGGCCAATTTAGCTTTGCTTGAATAAGCCTTCAGTTTTGCAGAAAATTCAGGAGCTACTTCTCTATCTAGTCTATAATGTTAATGGTAATGTAAAACATTCAGTTTCATTATACCTATTCTTATCTTGCATGAATGTTGTCGAACTTAATTGTCTGACGGTCTTAGGATCTAATTGATACTCTGCTAACGAAGCAAACAACTCTTCTTGCTATAATAGGAAGTTGAATCAAGCATATGGAAAACAAGCGACTTACAGTTGTTTTGTTTTGTTTTCTCTGTTGCACTGCTGCAAGTTGCCTCTTCATTTTTTTGGTCACCTGAAAAGTATGCTTCAACTTCGGCACACAGTAGCATCACTCACTCTCTCTTTCTGCTTTAACTTTGCATAATTTGTGTTCTTTTTTCCTCCTGTGGGATCCTTTTGCTTGTATATGTCTACTTCTTTAACTTTCTTCTTCCCTTAAACGAAGGATAAGTATATGTGAAGCAGAAGCTACAACCTGGCTCGAGAATATCATAAGCTTCAGAGATATCATCGATCACGGGAACTGTGGACTTCCTTTTAGCCGTAGCCATCCTGTCTACAATTGTAAATATAGGTGAAGGGTAACTGAATGGTGATAAATGAGAACAAGCTAATATGCAATTACTATGAAACTTTGTTGGTGAAGTTGAATGAGAGCTCGTTGAATGATTTTCGGTACGCAAGTTACCGCCGCAACTGAAATATAGGAAATCTTGCATAACTAACAGTTGTATTTAAGCATAATGCATTCATTTCAAATAGTCTGTGCTGTGTTGGTTATTTGCAGCATCTCTATGAAGTGCGTAAATACGAAATGACGCTGTTTTCTAAATGACGTATTTTCCGTGTGTTTTGATTATGCTAATTTGGCTGGCGTTCGAATGTGTTAATTGGAAGTTAGACGACGAGAGGCTATTCGTGTATTCATTTCTACTGTATTGCTCTGATATTTTATTTTTGTTTGTTTGAAACTTTCATGGAGATTAGGCAATAGATTCACCTCACCATTAGGCAGTTGAATATTTGCGTATTTCCATGATGAATTTTCAATTTCTATATTGCCGTCTCAGTACGATTGAATTTCAGAAGTTAGGAAATGCTCAGATGGATCATCAAGGATTCATAAATCACAACTTAAAAGTTGTTTTTCTTCTGTTCAGGTTAGTATTATAAGTATGTAGAATCGAATGCATAGAATCCTCGCGGAATTAGATCAAGCTTTCGCCTCTTGTGAAGCTATTCAATCCTCCACTTGATTTTAAAAAGTATGTTATTTCCTTACACCAAGTTTCCTTTACGATTCAGGAGGAGTTAGGTTTTTGAGAGTAAGTTCTCATAGTTGTTTCTATTCCGAATTTGGGTAGCTATGAAAACCAACATCGGTTGACCAATCTATTTCCAAAAAAACTTTTAAGAGAGTGAGTGAGAAAGGCAAATCAGTAATTCTATAGGTCGGTTCTTCTTCTTCACATTATCTCATTTTACATTTCGTTAGCTTGCTGAAGGCAATCGAAAGACGAAGGCATCTATTTCCAAATTTTTTTTGGGAGGAGACATAACTGAAGTTTGACGAAAGACACCATGTTGAGAATGATTAAATGAAGCAGAATAAACGTTCCACAATACGATTTCACTGTTGTCCCTTCTCTTAGCCAATAACAGCATGGATAGAAAACGAGCCCTAGCCATAACTCGGAATTCTAATTATTCATTTTGCGTGAAAAATTCGGCGTTCGAGCAGAAGATGAGCAGCTGGTGCGACCGTTTGTTGTTGTTATTACTTCATATCTCGAATTCCGTTCTTGAAGAATGTAATTCTTCGATGAATTCGCTATCCTCCCATTATCATTTGGCTTAAATCTTGCTCGAGCAGCTCTAGTTCTTAGCTCCATTAGAGATTTGTCAATCGTTTTAGCAAATTGTTTTGACAACAACGCTTTCCAATTGAAAGTTTGATGACCTTTGTATTCCCTTACAGGCAAATGACTGGTCTTTGCTCTCCATATTTGATAGATGAAGTTCATTGCAACTTTTTTCGGGCTATCCAATTATGTCTTCTGCCAACTTATCAGCCGTTTTGATCTCGTCTTTCAGCTTGTTCAATTGCAAGTGGAGTGCATGTTCGATAATCTGCTCAAAGATTTTGTCTGTCACAGACGAGCCCCGTAAAGTTCTTTTGAGTTTTATCTGAGGTTCCCAGAAGTTACCCCCGCCTTCTTTTCAATTCCAACAATTTTTTCCTTTTTGAAGAAATGTCATTTTCGTGACGCATAAATGCAGTTACCCCTCGTCTTCATAGCTATTGCATTTGTAGTTTGAGAGACGTTTTCGAAAGTTGGTGATAGCACTCCTTATTTAAATTTTGTGAGAAAAACAGCAATGTTTGATGTTTTTTACACATCTAATGAATATGACTATGTGCTGTGTCCATTAATCCTGTAGCCGCTTGTTGCGTTCCCAGAGGTAATCCCCTCCTCTCTATCCCCAGGAAATGTAACAAAGTTTTTGAATCAAAGCTCTCGTGCCACCGTATGGAAGTTATAGTTATACAAAACACTTTCGTTTGTTTGTTCCTCCCAAACCTGATAAATACGATGGGTAAATCGTAGCTTCGGAACGTTTAAATCTGCAAAACAGACAGATTTTATTTATCTTTATATGTAAATGCTCATCTTATTACTATTTTTGTTTCAGTTCATCGTTAGTATTCACTCGTCTGAAGTTTATTTTTCATTTTTTTTCATCAACATTTCCTCCGTTCTCTCTCTACATAGCTTCTCATCCATGCGCCTACGCCGTTTTCCCCAAAGTTGACATCTTCTAAGACACAGCTTGAAGCTGTGACATTTTTGGATTTTTCTTGGAGAATAAACACAGCCTAGTTTTCTCATTTTGAGTGGCTTCAAACTTGAAAAACGAATCTTCGGTAGTGATCTTATATGGCTATTCATCTATGCTTGCAAGCTTGCTTCCTTATCCAGTGACGTTTCCGTTTATAAAACTTAAGTTGCAACTCGCTGTTTAAAACCGTCGCTTATAATTCCACGAAAAATTCCCGAATTCATAATGCCCTTAGGATGTGTGGGCCCAGAATCGGTTAGGATTCTCTCGAACAGAGCCCAGAAGAGCTTCCACTTTATAAACTTGCAGATTTAGACAAACAGCTGTAGGCGCATCATATCAAGTACGAAAGAGAAAATGAAAACGTCTCACGAAATCATTACTACAAGCCGGAGAAATAGTCCGAAAGCACGGAGATGAAAAGAATCGTCAAGAGATTTCCAGTTTTGCTATATTCTGTAATTGTCTGATAGAAGTGTGAATCAGTTCGGAAACGTTCTTTATCCTCGTTTCCACATCTGCATCGAAGCTTACATCGAGGGGAGAAGTGTTCACAACTGCAGTTAAACGAAATTACTTCATATCACCTTTCGGCAAACATAGACGGGAATGTGTGAAATAGAAGTGAAGCGAGCAATATGAGCTTCTGAAGTTTGCATGGAAAGAATCATTACTTAATTAATTAGTTTTCGTGCGAATTTGTAGAAACTTCCATCATACTCTCATCATGAATTATTATTACACTTGCGCTTCGTAAGCTGTTTACCATCCGGTACCGTAATATTCTAATTTGGTCCCGACGTGAGCACTTTCGTAATTATTTGAATTGATTTTCACTTTGACGCGTGCATTGGTGGCGTACGGTTGCTTTCACGCTCTATCATTTAATCTTTTCTCTCATTTTCTTTGTTGTTCGTTCGTTGTTTCTTTTTTTTTATTATATATATCCAACTGATCTGCGTTGCTGCTCTGGTTCACCGAACCCTTCTGCCACAGGCAATCCCAAGCTGTTTTTGCGTTTTCGAATCCTCTAGTATAGAAAACATCAACAACAGCAATACTATTACTATATTTGGCTGTGCATCACTAATAAGTCGAGTGTTTGATTGAGGAAAGTTGTTCAGGTTGATTAAGTTGTCGAGATTTCCACTCAACACCAACCAGCGATTAACCCCGACAATTGCATTTTTTGGTTGCGGCTTTCCATGATGTGTTATCAATTCATTTATATCTTTTCCTTATTGATCTATATTTTCCTTTGCCCTCTCTCCATTCAGCATTCAGAGTTTGAGAGTTATAGTTATATGAGTTTTCGGCTTATTTTTAATTTAAACTCAGTTCGCGTGAATTATAAGTTTTCCGATTTAAAGGGGTTTTATTTCTAGGACTAAGTGAGCATAGTTATGAGTGAGAGCATCCATAAAACTTTAATAATAGAATAAGGACATCTCTGTCTCTGGTTGAATCTTCGAAAGAGGAAGAGAATGTAGAGAGAGCACACACAGATTTGCTATATTCTTAAATCAACTATACCCACGGAACCGCTTTAATCTGCCTTCATAGCCTAGTTCCTAACATCTGAGCGAACTGAGCGAACGAAGAGTTTCTGACTACTTTTGAAATTCGACGAAGCCTTCATTTCAAATTTTCATATCTTCTTAGATTTTGGTTCGGAACTTCCCATCAGATATAGAGAGAAATGAACTTTCTATCCCAGAGATGCATTTCTCGAAAGTTCGCACTACTACTTTGCTGCGATTATTTGACAACCTCTTTCTAATCCTGAGTGATCGATTGCACTGAGTTAGGTGTATCACTTCTTTGACCAGATTCCGCTTTTAGTTTCAAAAATTTTTGTAAATATTCCAAACTAAGTTATGTGAGAGTAAGTGTGCTGAATACGTCAGTCTGTCAGAAAGCTCAATGACTTCGCCGTGGGACTTCATCGCAGCTTATATCACCTCCTTATTTTCTATTATATAGTTCCTTCTTCCTGCTTCTTTTTTGCCTCGTTTTTCACACTTCGTGAGCCTTGAGACTCGTCAGTCATTTTACGTGATTCGTCCTAATAGTTCTCAATTTCACTTTTGTTGTTTATGGAAGGATTTTGTGTTTTAAATTTTTCGCATTCTGTATTGTTTTCGAAAATTGCCCTATCAACACGACATGCTATCTAAATAGTTTTCTATAAAATCAACACAAGTCCTGGAAGACTCTGTTGGTTTTTTTCTTTCCTCACACTTTTTGATATTGTTCACTTGTGTTCAATGATCTCAGCCATCTAGTTATGCAAGAAAATTCTCGCCTGCTCAAGTTTTCATGACATCATCAAACCTAAGTTCTCGTGCCGCCGCTTCTACTTAGTATTCTTTGCGGAACTTTACCTCCGAAGTTTTTATAAATGAGATGAGTTTTGTTTGTTGTCACTTATTTAGAAAAAGTGGAATCAGGTGATGAGCTTTATTCATAAATTTCTTCTTCACTTGTCACCTTCCATCCATCATCATTTTCCAACCTGACGCCAGTTCGCTACAAAGACGTTAGCTCCTTGCATTATCTTATTATTTTTCTCTCGAATCTTTTATATTATGCCAGTTTTTTTCCTCCCAAAGAAAAAAGTGACGGAAAACAAGAGCATTTGCATTCGTGTGCACTTTGGCTGGCTTCCTTGTCCGAGCAATCGCGCAGCTGCTTTTCCAACTCCTAATTCTTCATAATTCGGGGTTATTGTGTTTTACTATTTTTCAATTTCTTTCACCACTGCTCGGAAATAATTTTTGAAGAAGAATTTTCAAGCGTTGCGAGATGTTATCCTTGTCATTCATAGATGCGATATCGGATAACTTATTCAGAATATACTCTCGTTTTGTGGTTTGCTATGAGGCTATCACTTATTCTCTGGTTTGAAATATTTTATAAACTGATTGGAGAAATGTGACTGGAGATAGATAATCGGGCAACAGAAGGAGACATCTGCTCGGCTTCTCCTCATCAATCCACCTTACGCTTTTCTTTCCTTGACCCTCCTGATATCAGGAATATGTTCTTTTAGAAATCTTTTCATTTTGTAGGATTTTATTTTCATGTATCTTTTTCTATTTTTCTGCGCCTGCTCAGAAACTTATTTTTGAAGATACTTGGCTCTCTTCATTGTATCTTTATTATTGTTTCCAAGTCGGCATCTTTAAGCCTTTATCTTCAGTGGAGGGTTTCAATGTTTTTTCTGAATTGACGATTTTAAAACTGAATATATAGTTATTTAACTGATGATCGTTTAGAAAGAAAAACGCGGAGCTAGTCTTCATCTGGGTGTTCTTAGATGAATGGCTTTCGGAGTTTCATATTCAGTTTACGAATGCAATAGCTTTCATACAAAGGTTGTATTCGTTTCCTTGTTTTGGCTCTTTATTTAACTCTGCTTGTAGTTTTCTTTTTAGTCTTGTTAGTTCTGTTGACAGGATTGATGAATCTTATTTCTCATGGCGTATAAGAAAAGTTCTAGGAAGGAGGGAATGCCTCGCGAATTTAAGAATATTCTCAACTCTTTCTTGTGCGCTTTTCGTTCTTTATCCCAGCTCCCCGAAGGCCATACATTGTCTGAAATCACTCTTCTCGTTTCATCTGGCACACAGACGCCTTTGAATATTGGTAATGGTGAACAGAATGTTAAGGAATTTGAGCTTGAAGGCCTAGAATATTTCAGACGAAATTATAGTAAACAAACTCTAATCAAGTCTGTATCTCTTAGGATTACAAGTACATTTCCTTTTTTTCTTTACAACGCGCATTTTGAAGGATAAGGTTTACTTGTCAGTTTTAATCTTTTCATTTCTGTTTCAATCATAGTCGTCTGCTGTTGTCAAGAGATACGTCAGATACAGATCCCAACAGGTCAGATTGAATTTCAGTAAGAAGATGAACATTTCTTTCTGTCTTTCCTCTAACGCAATAGAGTTTGAATTTCATTCGAAGTCAAGTTTGCTCTGAAAGTCTTTCTGTCAGAGGTAACTAGGGATTTCTCTAGAATTGTAACGCTACTGAAATCACACTTCATAAGGATGTGAAGACACACTCTTAGAATTCGCAGTTTTCTTCCGAAATCTTGTTTTGTCAATTTTATTTTAGAAATTCTATGAAGTTCATATTCTAGTCAACTGAAAGACATATGCCCAGAGTAGACAACAAGAGTAGTCATGCTTGGTTGTGATCTCTTTGTCAACGATTTTTCGACTTAAGACTAGTATACCTGTTACTTGAAAATGAGGTTTTTTCGAAAGAAAATTAAAAAAAACCTCGTTAATCTACTGCTTGTCTTTTGACTAATCTCCGGGAGAAATTGACAGCTGATACTTCGGTGGATTCCTCGCAGTGTTTTTTCTTTCGAAAATCCTTATTAGATAAGATGGCTTCTTTCTTCTACTAGAAGGTTTTCATCGTGATATCTATGTCGGTTGTTATGAAAAAATCGCATAACTTTGCCTTTTTTCCTGCTTAGATGTTAATTGTCGTGTATACTTAGTTTGCTATGAAATGTCTGAGTCCATGTGAGATGGATAGTATGTCTAGGCTTAAGTCTTCCTTCTTTGTCAGTTATTCAGTTACTTTGTAGCTCATTTTATTCTCATTTGTCTTTATTTTTTTCGGTGGTCTTCCGCTTTCTCTTTATTCTATAACTCAGTTCAGTTTTCTGCATTTATTAATTCAGACAAATAAAGCAATTGAGAATAATTGAAATTATTTATGTCTGGAGGAGAAAACGTCTACCCGCACATCTTTCAGAACTTATAGAGGCTGAAGTTTATGTTCTTTCTCTATTATACTCGGTGAATCATCCATGCAGGACTTGCAATTTGCATACGCTCAGAACGGTTGAAAAACTCGGAGACTTCGTTTGCTTCTTACCGAGTCCTATCCTCTATTCCCCCCAATTCGATTATAATCTAACTTATGAGTTGACCACGAGTTTCAAGAACACTATAAGTTCATATGAACTTGTTTTGTTATGACTTTCCTTGAAGTACTAGGAAGAAGTGTTCTGAGCTCTGATTTTTTTTTTGAAAATTTGATAGCGGATTCAATAGGATAGAATGTAATATCAAAGGCTCTGTTCTTCGCCTCAATTTTCTTTTCTTTATGCTGCTCGCCACATCTCTAGCTTTCTCTTTCGATCTGCTTTATATTTTTTCGAGAACATAATTCACTTGAAAAGTGGAAGCATGAGACTTCTTTCATGCAGCTCCTACTCATTTATCTTCTCAATGCGTCTAGTGATCATATCAAGCTTTAATGATTTTCGAAGTGGCTGTTTCTATCACACTTTTTTTTATGGCCATCTCTTGAAAAACTTCTGAAATGTCCTCATATTGCCACTTCCCTGGAAATGTGTAACATTCCCTACGAGTCTGCCTTCATTGTCATTTGGCATATCTTCAGCATGTACTCGTCATCTGTTCCTCAATGCTTATTGCTAATGATATCATTTCTGTAGATAAAAGAGACATAGAGATTTATAGCCGAGATGAATAGATAAGGTTAGAAGTGTTTTCCTGGTTTCATTGAAGTGTGGTCCAGGTCGGAATTTTCTTGACTGATTCAATGCTTCTCACAAACTGCAGTGTATACTTTGTCCAAGTAATCTGTGTGTATGTGTTACGGGAAACAATTACCGTGCAAAAAACGTTTGATCAATACGGGTCTGAGGTCTGATGCACTTCCTGACTCTTCCGCTTTTGTTTCTTCCTAGCCCATTTACTTAGAATAGTCCAAGAAGACTAATTCAGATTCCTATTGCAGACAGAAGTCATTATTCACGAGTCTGCCTCGAACAATTATTGAAAAATTATCAAAATGAAAGACAATGGTTACGTTTTCGATTTTTTTTGAGATTCATCTAGAGAGCCATTCGTTGCACTGGAGTAATATCCATGATGAATCATCTTCGCATTACTTCAGAGCATTTCTGCATTCCTCCCTCACAACTGAATATTTCACAAATCCAGTTGGGGTTTCTTGAAATATGGAGGTTGGAGGGCTCTTGTGAACTCATTATGACTTCTAATTGCTGGCCGATTCGAAACTCCGTTTAATTTCTCACTCCATTTTTGTTTATTTCCGTAGTTATTTTTACATTTCTTTTGAATGGCTCGCAGAGTTGTGAATTTGCTTCTTTCCAAATGTTGTCAAGCTAAAAATAAGGCTTTTTCATCTTTGATGCGGTCTGTGTTCGCCGAGATTCAGTCGTTTTTTGATTTCATCTGAGTTATCCGCCATGATTTTCGTTCCGTATTCTTTGTGCCTCATAAACCTTAATTCTGTTCAGATGTGGATGTTTTAAGTGGGCGATGAACCTTGTGCAGTCTGTAGGATGATGAATTATGAGGCTCTTTGTTTAATCAGGTTTGACGATAAAAACTCTTCTTAAAATAATCTGAGCTTTGTAGTCTACTTGTGTCAGGAATCTCCTCTCATTCTTCTGAAGGCTTCTCTGTATCTGCTACATCTGCTGAATCTTTGGCAAGTCAGGAGGATGACTTAACCCAATCCGTATTGACAAACACTGTCTCCTCTCGATCTACCAAAGACAAACGCTGTTCAAGGAATAGCATCAATTTAGGAAAGCTCATTGATACTCTTCTCACGGACTACGATGTTCACCTATTACCAGAAGCTGAGGGTGTCAATGTTACGATAGAATTGCATGTTCAGGTGAGTCTAGCTTATCTTGCATTCTCCTCACTTCATCTCTTATTCAGGGGGTGTCAGGAATTTCTGAAATCACTGGGGATTTCTCCTTAGATGTCATGTACAGTGAAATATGGCAAGATCCTAGGCTTTCATTCAAGCATCTGAATGTTTGTGCAACAAACATAACTTTGAAGGTAAACAGCTGTTTATCTTCTTTTCATTCATAATTCTCTGCAGTCTGATTTTCGCAAAAAAATATGGACTCCTGACACTTGTATCATTAATTCCAAATCGTCTTCGATCCATAGCTCTCCTTCTGAAAACACTTTTGTCATTCTCTATGAGAACGGCCTTGTATGGAGCAACTTCCGGTAAATCGTTTTTTAAAAGCATTGATGATCAACAAGTTTTTCAGGCTGAACGTCAAAACTCCATGTTCAGTAAACTTGAAGGTGGTGTTTGGTTAGAGAATTCTTGTTTATCTGCAATTCAGATGTTCCCCTTTGATTCGCTTTCCTGTGAGATCGTCCTGGAGAGTTATTCCTTCAACACCGATGAAGTTCGATTGTTATGGCACGATGTGCCTATAACGATGATGGAAAAAGTTTGTCTCTTAAGATCACTCTGAATAAGGTGTTGCATTAGGTGGAGTTGCCTGATTTTGATCTGATTGGATGGTCAACCGATCATCAACGTCTAGAATATCCTAACGGAATCTGGGACAGAGCAAAAGTCAAATTCACTTTTGCCCGTCGTTACGGCTTCTACCTTTTCCAATCGTATTTCCCCACTTCCCTAACTGTTATCAGTTCCTGGGTTGGATTCTTCTTCGATGTTCGCTCGGTATCGGCTAGGTAAGCTGATGAGAGTGTTAGGTGCTGAAGTCATGTGCTTCAGAATTACTTTGGGTGTATCATCATTGCTCGCCTTAACATTCCAATTCGGTAATGTTCTTCGTCATTTGCCTCGTGTGAGTTATATAAAGGTGAGAATTTCGAATATTTTCCGAAAACCTGACAGCACATCTTTCAAGTGTTTGGATGTTTGGATGATATTTTCTGTGATTTTCATTTTTTGTACATTAGTTGAGCTGGCAATTGTTTGTCAATTGAATAGGTGAGGCATTGAGTAATTGTGAAGTTTCTGACTTCTGTTTTGCAGATGGGAAAGAGAACGTCAAATTGGCTCGAAAGTCTTAGGGCACTGGCTGAATCAGATCAGGTTCGTGTTTTTATAATTTCAACAACTGTTGTCTTTGTTATTTTAACTGAGATTTTAATTAATTATCAACAGTCGATCCGATTAATCAGAGCAAACGTTTTGTTCAGGAAAACGAGGAAGAATGAAGCGAAGTCGAACGGTCAGACAGACGGTGCTCAACCAACTAAGAAAGGTTTTAACTGGGGAAGTCTCGGAGCTTCGGCAGGTGCAGGAAATGGCGGAGTTGTCGCTTCCGATTCCACCACAAGCACGATTGTTCATCGTGAGAAATCGAATGAAGTATTGGTCTATTAGGGAGATTTATGTAAAACTCAATTGTTTCCAGGTTGACGGAAGTCCCTTCATCATGCATTCCTCAGCAGATCATGATTATTCATATGAAACTGTGAAAAAGAAGAGTCGATGGAGAAATTGTATCCAGCGACTCGTGTATGCTCTCTGTCCTCCCGACAGAGATTGGACAGTTACTTCTGTACAGGTATGTCATACAGATTCTAACATGATCATCTGAATTGTCTTTCAGGTAGACCGGTGCTCAATGATTATGTTCCCCCTCTCATTTCTAGTCTTTAACGTAGTGTAAGTGATCATGTGTTTTCTAATCAGAATCGAATCATTACAGATATTGGTCCATTTATTTCATGAAAATGGATCGGCCAATGTGATTGGATCCCCTTTTTAAGCTTTGTATTGTAAATATTTAAAGTCCCATTTATATATTTAACTAACTGGGGGAAGAGACAGGTAAGAAGAACCCAGTGAGCCTTCTAAAGATTTTCATGAGATTTTACAAACAGCTACGAAGATAAATATCTTTATAGAACTGCAAAAAAAGAAGAGCAGTAAAAATAAAATGTTTTTCTCATACATTCAATGACACACAGGGATTAGAAGGAATTCTATATACTTACAGATAGTATTGAAAGTTGGTCAAAATAAGAATCGTTTATGAGGTTTTAGGCAAGATACTGATATTCATCGTTTTGATCCGTACGTTGCAAGTAGAGTTTATCAATCAAGTCTTCTATACATTTCTTGACCAAGCTTACGTCAGGTTTGAATCTTCCCTTAATCTGATCCATCACCTCAAAAACACATTTATTAGGAAGAACATCGGGCTAGAGACAAACCTCTGATATGAGTACATTGTGCTTAAGCACTTTCCGGGTTTTCATAATACGTACAACGGCACACTCAACGTAGTATTTTCTGTCTTGAGCAACCTGCAAAGAGACATCCAAAATCCGATTATATCAAACGAAGAGTACCGTGTTCTGGGTTGTGTCAACTTCTTTCTCAATTTGTTTTGAACTCTGTACAGATGGCAACTTGAAACGACTTCTCTTTGCATTCATCTTGAAGTTCAATGATAGAACAGAGCTGTTGAAGTCTTCCTGCAATCGACGGAACTTCACAGAGAACCAAAACGAAAACAAACTTTTTCAGTGAGCAAAAGCATTTGACTGTCCGTCAGAGTGCGGATAATCTTTTGAAGAAGTTCGCCGGTCAGTCCAATTTCAGCACCAAGAGACTCTACAGTCATACTCTCTTGGTAGTTAAACACGAGTAGAGCGGCCATTTGGAAAGCTCCCATTTGAATTAGATAAACTTTCTGCAGATACGACGTCTTCAACTCTCCTGAACGATCAGATAAACTAGGAAATTGCATCGGGAATGTTTACCGTGGGAGCTATGGTATAACCAACTTAGTTTTCTACCACTATGTTTCTTGCCATAGAACTCTTCGAAGTATTCCACTTGGTTCTTTAGAGTTGGGGGAATGATGAAAGAGATTGATTCAACGTTGGTTGCAGGTGATCCTGTTCCTCCTTTAGTAGAACGGATGAGAAGAATTAGGGATTAACGAAGACTTACCAGCATTAGGAGCTGAGAGTGGCCAAGAACCGGCGGTAAGAACCATGGGTTGCATGTCCACATGATGAGATCTTTCTTTCTCATTCAGATACTAAATTTCAAACAATCTTTTTGGAAAGGGAAGAATTCGAATTACCTGCTTGAACTCAGCTGTGAGTTCAGGGCAGAGATTAACATCGGTAAACATGCGTGACAACTTAGAAGTGAACTCATACCCACAGGCTTGCTAAGAATATCGGAATTGAAAAGAAAATGAGATTCATGCATACTTTTAGTTTGTTAATCATTAGTTCTTCAGCTTCCATTGAAACAGAAAGGTTATGAATCAAACGGACGGAGAGCATCTTGGAGTAATACTGAAAATAGGGATGAAGAAGGGCTGAGCTTACAAAAAAAACCTTTTGGAAAATATCTTTGTCTTCAATGTACCGGAAGATGATGATCGTTCGAGAGAGCTTCTCGTCCAATTCATTTTCAGAAATATTCTTGTTATTCTTGCGTAGTAGACTGTCAGAGTAACGGGCAAGTCTTTCACTCGATTTACTAGGTACAGTAGGATTCCTCATGTTAACAACGGTTTGAAGAGCCTTATCAAGGGCTTGAGCGAAATCTCCATCATCCATGAAGACGGTACTCTTCATCTCACTGAACTTGTCGTAAACCTGAACATCGTTTATAGTTCAAACATGGTAAGCCCACAACAATTACCATAAGAATGTTTTCGACAAACTGCTGTGGTGCAGTTATTGGATCCATGTTTTGCATGGCCAAAGCCTTCAAATTAAACAGAATAAGTTTATTTTCAGGGAAAAAAACCTCGTGTCCTTTCTGTCGTACGTAATCCTCAAACTCTTTGATCATCACTGTTAACCCTGAGGGAATCGGCTTCAATAATCTGTACATGTTCTGAAGATCCTTTCTCTCCTCGTTGCGGATGAGATCACTGCACACACCATTCAACTTCTCTTTGTGGATGCTGATCATAACATTCTGACAAACTTTTATAACCTAAAGAGTAAGCTGATCCATGCTCAAATTTCGATTTAACAAACCTTTTCTACGGTTGAAGGACAAACGTACTGAGCAGCTCTTCGTCGTTCAGCTTCTATAGCATTAATCACCTCGAATAGGAACTAAGTATGGAGGGTTCAAAAAGTAAGAGACTTACAGCTTCCATATATTGACTACAAGACATATCAGCTAGAAGCTTTTGAGCATAAAGTGTATAATATTCTTCCGTGGAGTTCAAGAAACTGAGAAGCGAATGGTGAGGATAGCAATGTGAACCGAAGGACTCACGGTATTTCAAATTCATTTTCATAAAACTCATGATAAACAGTAGAGTTCTTATTCATGGCATGAAGTGAATCTTTCTCAAAATTATATTGTTCGACCTTCAGAGAATATTTGATAAAGAGGAGAACATGAAAGATGTTACCTGTACAAAAGACATGATGACTCCTCGGATCACAGATTTATTTGAAGGAGGATTACCGGCACGATCTTCGGCAATTGCTGTTAGGAGGAGGTTGATGAGTTTCTTCAGAATTTCTTGAATCAGTTTAGTCTTCCAAACCTCCAACGACAACTGGAACACGAATGGGGGAATACAATCAACTCATGAGACAACTAACACATCCAACTTCTTTCAAGTTAGGTTTTGCTAGATATCCAGCATACTGATTTACAATTTCAGGGTCCAAATCTTTCTTTTTGTTTACAAAATGGATGTTTAAATATCTGAATTATTCAAATTTTCAGTGGATGTAGAGTGATTTGATTACCTAAAAAGGTTATGAAGGACCATAGTCCCTTGGAAGAAAGTGTTCCACATCTTATCGTACACGCTTAACAAATCCACATAATGAACTTTGGATATTGCCTGCAAGATAGAGAAGTGTATCCAGTTGATAAGCAAGAATCAAACCTGATACTGTTGGGATACATGCTCCTCTAAGCACTCAGAAAGAGCTCTGTACAGTTTATCGCTCAGAGGATCCGGGATGGCAACGCAAATGTTGTACACATCACTAATTATTTTAATAATATTTATAGAAAAGAATTGACTCTACCTGAATTTATAATCCCAGGTCAAACGAGGGATTGGATTCAGATTTATAATGTCCACAACAGAAGATCGTAACTCACTCCATACTTTGTCAAAATCAACTTGATTAGGCCGCAAGGCGGACATTTAATTCTGATATCTGTAATGAAGTCTTAGGATAGGTTAAAGGTGAAGCTGAACGATTAACTCGGTCAATAACGAAATGATGACAAAATGGATAAGAGGTAAACAGGGGATAAACTTCTCGGTTTTTAGAAAGTTTTAAGCTTAAGTTACAAGGTGCTCCATTGCTAAATCTTTTGTTACGTGACTTTCTCAAAAGATTTAGCAACAGAGCGCGCTTCATTTCAGACCTTTAAAAAAGTTGTTCATGCCTCACCAGCCTTCACGTTAGTTCTATCTCGCATATTTCTCTTTAAATTGCTTGCTTAGAAAGGCTACTAGCTGGGAATACGTGAATTTTGAAGCTTATGGAATAAGTTCTGCGACATTTCGGAATATATCAGAAAAAAGATCGGTCTAATAGATTTTCTTTTTCGGAGATACTATCAAACCAATAATCTCTGCTGTGAAGAATCTCTCTTTGCATTCCACTACTAATGACGACGAGGAAGATTTTCTATTGGGCCCTAGGTTAAGAGTGGATAACGCTCAACTAAACGTTGCTCTTAGGGGATGTGCTTCTGCCAAAGTATCTGAGAAGAGAGAGGGATTGAAAACTATTCATGATTTGAAGAGGTTTGGCTTAGCTTTGTAAAGATATCCACATTGTTCTGACAGTCGTTCTACCTATGACCAAAAACATCGTCAGTTCTTCATAGCCAAACGTTCAATTGCGTTGTTTTTAGAACAGCAATCTAACTGTCTTTTATTTAAAAACGATTGAGCGTTTAGTGGAAGCAATGGATTCCGATGACTTCATGCCTTACTTGCCGGAAGTTGCCCCAACAGTAATCCAGGTACTTCTTCGCTCTTTCGCTCTCAATCATCTCTACATTTTACTTGCTTTTTGTTCATTGTATTATTTTAATACTAAACTCTTACCCAATGTGGATTCATCATCATCTTATGAGCAGACTAAATTACAGGTTCTGTGATTCCCGTCTATACCTCTTGTCTTTGGTACGACTGTCTCTAAGAACAAGAAGAAAATATTTAAGTTCTCACGTGTAGTTGAGCTCGTCAATGTTGAATTTACTTATTAAGCACAAGATGCAAGTGAAGAAAGCTTTATCAATTGTTCTGTTTCCATCTACTGAGAGGCCTTCCAGCCGTAGGAGACCTCCATACGTAGAACGGATCATGAGGAATGATAATGGCGTGTACAACCGCACGACCGTTTGACTCTTAGCCAAAGTAAGAAATGAAATTCTTTCATTCTCCCAGCACACTTAGAGGGTGTACTTTTGAGAATTTGAGAATTTGAGAATTTTCTGGATTTTCAATGGTTTTCAATAATTTCTGGAATTGTTTCCGTCTGCTGTCACCGGTCTGTGTTCTACACTTGAGTGCATTCGGAAAGAAAGTATTTGGTACAGTTTTCATTCTTGGAATTTCGAGTTTCAAATAGGATCAGAATCTCTTCAGGTCATCTGAATCATGCCATCAAACTCTGAGAGTTATAACCGAATAGTAAGATTCTTATTACATTTTCATTGCTCCTAAGTGTATATAGGAGCAGTTGGCTTCAATCTGAGGTTCGGTCTTGAGAAAAATTATTTAGAGTAGGAATGGAGATGTTCTAAACAACTGATTTGCCTGGGAGTCTGCTGAGCCAGGTAAACAAACTAAAATGCAAAATGTGCTTCGATTGACAGAAATCATACATCTACAGTTTCAGGGATTCTAATGGGTTGTTTAGAACA